GAGGAGGGGCCCGTGCGGGTGGGACACACGCGGGCGAGGAGGGGCCCGTGTGGGTGGGACACACGCGGGTGAGGAGGGGTCGGTGCGGGTGGGCGAGGGTGGCTCTCCGGGCAGCCGTGCTCTGCCGCTGGAGGCTGGGGGAGGTCCAGGGTCTCTCCTCCCTCCCCTGGGCTGTGGTCCCAACCACTGGAGACAGAGCCGTGGCGCAGCGGCACCAGGAGGCGCATTTACACCACGTTCTCTGCAGGTGTGCCGCCTGTTTCAGAAGCTCATAGATGCCTTCACTGTCCTCAAGAAGGAGCGGCCCAACAGGGAGTCTCTGCTGGAATTCATGACCACCGACCTGGAAGCCAGGTAACTTCTGTAAGAAAAACTGCTAACTGATCTGAATGCTGTGGTCTATTTATGCACATGCTAGTTCTCAAGCCACATGTCAAACCAGTGGGGGTTCAGAAACTCGCAAGGAGGCCAGGTGCCCACCCCACCACCCCCCAACTCTAGAAAACCCCAAAGGCCCTCTGAGACAGAAACTGCACTCCGGGGTGCACCGTCTGGCTCTGGTTTGGGCGGCCCCGCCCGACTTGACACACCCCACCGGGGTCAGCTTCCTCCTTTCCAGCGCGGCTTTTCCTGACTCAAGTGTTGGGAGCACCCAGAGAGGGCATTGCACACAGTCTCGTTTTGCTCCTCAATTCCCCTGGAGTGCTTCTGATTTTTCACCGTCAGGCATGACGTGGGCTCTTGTAGATACCTTTTAAATGTGAGGACAGGTGCTGCTCTTGTTGGTCAGCTACCGGCTGTGCTTGGGTTGTTGTTTTTGTGGTTGTGTGGTTCTCGTGTTGTGTGGTTCTCACCTTGTTGTCCTCCCCTCCACAGTCGGTGTTGAGCTTCATCATGATCGGGTTTCTCTCCTGTAATGTCGGCCGCAGGGAAGTTCCTCTGGTTTCCTTACCTGTCCCCTCTCACCCAGCAGCGCACCCTGGGCCCCTGACCCTCTCGCCCAGCGGCACACTGTGGGCCCCTGTACCCTCTCGCCCAGCAGCACACCGTGGGCCCCTGTCCCCTCTCTCCCAGTGGCGCACCCTGGGCCCCTGTCTACTCTCACCCACTCATGATGCTGGGGGGCGCTGTCAGGACCACATGTTCTCGCTGCCCCTCCCCCTGCTGCCTACTCTGCTGTGGGTCAGGGTGAGGACTAAGGTGGCGTGAGAAGCCCCCTGCCTCCTGGCCCTCGTCCTTGCCAGATAGAAATGGCAAAGTGTTTCTGCACCCTTCTGGGTGGTCGGCAGATTGTTAGGGTCAGGCTTGAACATACCACCATGTCCTCTATGACTGCTCATCTTTTCAGATCTTAATTTGTTTTTGAGCCATCTTTCTGGTAGTCCGTGTTTTCCTAGAAAATTGTTTTTGCTAGTCTTTAGGATGTAGTCGTGTACATTTTTGTACCACCTTCTCCTATAACTTTGCAAAGAACTTTATCTCAGGCATGTCTTCCTTATCGTCATTTATCTGCCGTCTCTCCTTCTAATCAGAACTGCAGACTTGGATTTAACTGACCTTTTTGGAGAACCAGGTTTTGGTTTATTGATCAAAGCAGCTGGGATTGTTTTGTTTTTGTTGTTCTTTATTTCTGCTTCATCTTTATTGAGTTCTTCCTGTGTTGGGAAGGCAGGTTATACTGCTGTTCTGTCACCCCCTCCTTGAGTTGAACATTTAGCCCCCACGTTCTCCATTTTCCTTTCTCACAAGCACATCCCCTCAGCTCCATCTGGTGGCGCCTCATCCCTTGGTGTGGCCTGGCGTGCCCGCACTTCCTGAGACTTTGTGGGTTTTCCTTTCTATTCACAAGTTACTGAGGGGAGTGTGTTAAGGATTTCTAAACGGATATATGCCTGGGGTGGCTGGGGGTGTTGTTCATTTTGGGTCTTATTGCCTTGAGACCAAATTCTGCAGCCTGTTTGGTTTCTGGTTTTTGAGAAGCACCCAGGAGGTTTTCCCTGCTGTGTCCCTGGATGAAAGCTCAAAGTAATGACCATGGCTTGAGCCAGGAGCTGTCGGTTAGCAAAGTCAGGTCGCCAGGCAATGGCCAAGGCCGGGAGCCATTGGTCAGCAAAGTGAGGACGCCAGGCAGGGGCCAGGGCTGGGAGCCATCGGTCAGCAAAGTGAGGACGCCAGGCAGGGGCAGAGGCTGGGAGCCATCGGTCAGCAAAGTGAGGACGCCAGGCAGGGGCCGAGGCTGGGAGCCGTTCGTCAGTGAAGCGAGGTCGCCTGGCGGGGCCTGAGAGGGTTCGTCTCCCTCAGGTGTGTCGGCCTGCAGATCCGGGCCATCCAGGGGACCGTCCACAGCGAGCCTTCCGAGTACTCAATGCTGCTGAACAAACTGGACAGTTGCTTGCTGGAAATTGAGAAAAAGTTCATCAACTGTGGCTACAAAGAGAAGTGCGTGGACATAAAACTGGAGCGTGCAAAGATAAAGAGGTGAGACGCTGCTGCAGCTCTGCATGTGCTGAGGGGCCGCCTGGTGCTCTGATGGGTCCTCACCACTGCCCACCCAGCCCCTGCCTTCCAGTGCCCCCCAGTGCCCGCTGGGGTCGCCGCCCACCACCCCATTCCCACAGTCCTGTGTCCCACCTCACCTCCTCTGCCCCCAGGCCAGGCCCTCCTCCCAGGGTCACCTCTCCTAGCCCAGCAGGACCACCCCTGGCCCCAGGCCTCATGGCCACCCACGCTCCCTGTGGCACCCTGGGGCTCTGCAGCAGCTTTGGGACCTCCTGTAGCGTGTGTCCTCGCGCCCCCCACACCCTTTTACCTCCTGGGTGTCTGCCTGCTCAGCCACCTCTCAGCCCCAGGAAAGAGCGGCCTCTGCACCACTGGCCGGCCAGGGTCGGTGATGCAGAGACACACACGTCACCCCACCACTGCACAGACACACACACCAATGCCACACACATCACCCCACCACAGACATATCACACCATCACACACACACACGTCACCCCACCACAGGTACACGCACACCCTACACCACACATGCAGCACCCTCAACTCCACACAACTCACACACACACCACCGCACACCTCTGGCACTTACACGTACACACTGCCCCACATCCCATCACACACACCACCTCCACCACCCACCCAGTCCATCTCACACCCACACAGCCCATCTCACACCCACACACCCAGCCCATCTCACACCCACACACCCAGCCCATCTCACACCCACACACCCAGCGCTGGTCTTGAGAAGGGGCCCCAACACTGCTCTCCAGTGGGTGTGATCACCTTTCCCACGCAGCCCCCAGAGCCCCCCCGACACCAGAGTGCAGCGTCTGCAGCTCCCGAGGGAGGGGAGGGCGGGTCTGACACCTGTACCCATGTCCAGTGCGGGGACCTCACCCCAGCGGGCATTGTGGGGACTGCCCCTCCCCTGTCAGCAGAGCAGGACAGGCCAACCCCTCTTGGGGTGCCCCTCCTCTCCTGGGTCCACCTTCTTGGGGTGCCCCTCCTCTCCTGAGTCCACCTTCTTGGGGTGTCCCTCCTCTCCTGAGCCCACCTTCTTGGGGTGCCCCTCCTCTC